GATGAAAAATTTTTGATAAAGATTTATGAAAGTTTATAGCAAAAAAAATTGAATATATTACCATAACTTTTAGCTCAATTACAAGTTTAAAATTGACATCTAACCCAGTCAACAAAGGAAAAATTTCTTAAAAAATTCCTNCATCTAGGCCTGTCAACAAAGGAAAAATTGCGGAAAAAATTTTGTTTTTTTAAAAGTTGAATTAAAATATGTATAATGACATACTAATAGTCCTCATTGATTGAAATTGAGCTTCTTTTTTTACAGCCTCGCAAAAGTTCAAAAATATGAGCTTTTTTTATNTCCTCGCAAAAGTTCAAAAATATGAGCTTTCTTAATTTTCTCAAAAAAAAATATTTAACTTACAAAAAAAAGTTTCGCACAAAAGTTGTTTAAAAGACAATTATAAACAAAAAAATGTTCTTATATTTTTTCATTTAAACAAATATTTTTCGAGTTACATTACATTAAATATGAGTACTAAAATTTATATTCCATTTTTTTCATTTTACGGTTACTTTTTATCATGTTATACTTACATTAGACACAATGTTATAAATGCATATGTGTGTATGTGTGAGTTTATTTATTTATTGTATCATTAAAGTGTAGTGTATATTGAGATACAACCGATAGAGTAGGTAATTGATTTGACGCTATATTATTTAAACCCAACTAAACGCTAAATTGTACATTCCGAAATAACAATCATATTATGTCAATTGCCACCGGAATATCTGGTAATATTTTTCTTTTTCTTTGCCTTAATCCCAACTACTTGGGGTCGGCCACCCTTATCCTAAGATTCCACTTGACACGATCTCCCACATCTTCTACGCTCACATCAGCTGTCCTCAAATCGCATTCAATAGCTTCCCTCCATCTCTTTTTTGGTATTCCTCTATCTCTTCTTCCTTTAACATTCATTTTTATAACTGTTCTTACATCTTCCGATTCTTCTCTCGTCATACCATGACTAAACAATCTAAGTCTATTTTTTGTCATCTTATCCACTATTGCCGCAACACCTATACTTCCTCTTATATGCTCGTTCCTTATCCTATCTTCTCTAGTCACTCCACTCATCCAACTAAGCATTCTCATCTCTGCTACACTTATTCTCTGCTCTACTTTCTTATCAACCGCCCAACACTATGAACCATACATCATAGCTGGCCTCACAATTTCATACTAAATTTAAAAACTATAATTAGTATTTATTCATATATTATATTTTAAAATCAAAGAACTACTAATCAGGATATAATTAAAGAAATAAGAGTTCATGTTGCTTTTAAAATATTTCACCAATTTCTCTAAAGGAAACACTATCTACAGATTTGCATCGAAGCGTTTCTTATGATAGTGATTTTAATCACTGTCAGATATCATCTATACTTGTCCCATCTATGCCTCGTCCACACTGTGCTATCGTATTTTTTGTGTATTTTTTCTTTCAACGATACGTCAAAAGATCACAAATCGTATCTAGTCGAAGATATTACCCTCAAAAATTGAAAAACATTCCCTCGTTCCCCGTAAATGGGGGAAACCTCCAAAAAAATTACAAATTTAAAAATCACTAATTTTCGAAATTTTTTCAATTTTTTTTACTTAAAAGTGCCATAACTTTTTTAAAAATGAATATATCAATATAATTTTTTTTTGTATAGATGCATGATATCATTATCTTTAATTTGGTATATTTTTTGTTATATCATTAACTGTCCACAGGGGGGATTTAAAATGACAACTTTTTCACAAAAAATTAACTTTTTCAACATAACTTTTGAAAATGTTCCGGAAGGTCTAACACTTTTATATATATCTTAAATTAAAGTTAATGTAATATATTTTATTATGTTAAAAAAAAATTTCGGACTTGAAAATGGCTACCGAATGCTATTATTGTGTGAAACATCTCGATTTTATTTTTTACATTTTTAACTTTATAATGCTATGTCATATTGAAATGTGTATGGATCAACATTATTTTTTTATGAGAAATAATATTTTTTAATAATACCTTTTTCATTCGACATACTTTATCTTAATTAAGATACTAAATGTGGCTAGAGTCACAGAGCATCGTCTATGACGAATCGACGCAGGACCTCACAATTCATACAATTATATTAGTAATATATAATAAAAGTTAACAAAGCTTTTATAGTTACAAAAGTTATTTATTAAAAACCCAGCACAGGGCGATCGTGGCACAGTGGTGACGTGGCATAGTTGGATCAAGTATAATGATATCTGACAGTGATTAAAACACTATCAAAAAAAAAACTCTTGGATGCAAATCTTTAGATAGTGTTTAATTTTAAAAAAATTGTGGATTATTCCAAAAACTTCATAAACTGCTAGTTCCTTATTAATATCCTGATTAAGATAAAGTATGTCGAATGAAAAAGGGATTATTAAAAAATAGTATTTCCCATAAAAAAATTATATTGATCAATACACTTTTCAATAAGTTATAGCATTATAAAGTTAAAAATGTAAAA